AGAAAGGAAGGAAAGGATAGGGAGAGTTTTGAACAAAAAAAAAAAGAAGGAAAAGGAAGTTTTTTTGAAAGAAGGGAGGCTTTCAAATATAGAGAAGAGAGGGGGGCTGCTGCAGAGAAGGAAGAACAATATTGTTGACAAAGGGAACAAAGAAAATAGAGGAAAGAAGTCACGCGAAATGCAGCAAGGAGGAGGAAGAGCTGTCACAGCAACACCACTACCAAACCAGCCTTCTTGCATGCAGGTAACTCCCTCCCCCTCATCACTATTTAGGGTTCGTCTTCTTGCATGCAGAACATGCACTGTGCATGTTCTGCAAACTAGAAGATAATTAACAGTTACTGTGCAAGTGCACAGTAACTCCTAATTAATTCACTAGTTATTGTGCAGGTGTACAGTACGGGCTAATTAATTAATCGAGTACTGTGCTCATGCATAGTACCGGGTTATTGTTTGTTGCGGGCTGGAACATCAGCCCAGCCTATGCTGCTGGGCTGAGTCCAGCCTTATAGAAAGGGGGCTCATTTTATTTTGGGCTGATTTCGACTCAGTTTCCTTTTGGGTCGGGTCTGACCCATCCAAAACATTTTCTTCAAAGAATTATTTCAAAAAATCTGTGATTTTTTGTAATTTTGTTACTGTATTTTGATCAATATTGATTTGTATTTTTATACTGTAAAGATATAAATTTGGTATTAAAATACCCGGTTTTCGTCGAGACATCAAAAAAATATAAAAATGAAAAATGTTTTGTTTCCATGTATACGGCCAATACCCTAACATGTTTTTTTAACGTTTTTTTCATAAAAAAACAAATATTTGAAGTTTCAAAATGTGTTTTCGCATGGATTTCTTAAACACAACAAAAATTATTTTCTTGTATTTTTGGATTTTACAACATGTTTGTAAATTCCAAAGGGTGTTGGCTAATATTCCAAAAATATAAAAATCTTATTTTTTAGGGAACTCATCTATATTCACTATTAATGTTTGGATAAAGAAATCCTAAATGGGTAAATATCCAAAATATTATTAGAAATAATTTGTTATTATTCACTATTAATGTTTAGATAAAGAAATCCCAAAAGGGTAAATATCCAAAATTTATTAGGAATAATTTGTTATTATTCACTAAAAATATTTGGATAAAGAAACCCTAAAGGGATAAATATTCAAAATATTATTGGGAATAATTGTCCGCTGTAAATATTCAGATAAAAAAACTTTAGGTGGTTAATATAAAAAATATTTTTCTAGGAGTAATTCTAAATTTATTTCAAAACAAACATAGACTTCAAGAGATCTATAACGTCTCTTTTGCCACTCTATAGACATATCTAAAGGTATGATCCGTATTGTCCAAGGGTTCTATTTCTTAGACTTTGAACCCAAGTTTCGTTCATCATCTTATCATCTTAGAAAACTGATGGGATCCTAAAAACTTAATCCTAATTTATCATCTTCAGTTCTATATATTTTGTTTCTAATATAAACTTTATACCTTTTTTTCCCCTTAAAGTTGGCCAATGTTTAGAATTTTTTTTTTTAATTTTGGAACAAAGAAAACATTCTTTTTTGTTTGGATTACTGCTATTCCTTTTTCTATAATGATAATTTTTTACTTGTTACCAAACTTTATAAAATCTTGATAAGATTAATCTAAATTAGAGAAGATTGATTTATCTCTACTCAAGTGATTGCTACACTTAATGTCTAAGCACCATAAATTTTTTGGATTTTTCTCATTCATATGGTTAGTCATTGATAAAGACATCAGCTTCCTTCTCTATAAAATTAGATTTTCTATCACCATTTCTTTTCAAATTAGTTTAATATTCAGATTTATAATGTTCATACATATGACACTTAAAGTATTCAACTTTTAATTTGTCCATTAGTGTTGGCTTGTAAAAGGTTGAATAATTATTGTCAAATCATTTATCACTTCTTTAAGAATTAGAAAACTAATTATCTTTAAATTTTTATGTGAAAATCTAATATTATTATTGTTTGTGCTTCTTTCACTTCCTTGTCCACCTTTTTATAGATAGAAAAATGATTATTAGATGAAATCTGTAAAGCTTACTCTTTCTTGTCTTTTCAATTTAATTTTTGTTTGTGATTTAGGAAGGAACTTTGTAATTCATCAAAGAAAAGTTTATCAACATCCTTAGCTTCAACACACTACAACAATGAATTTTTTTGTTAATGATCAAAGAGTTTTTTCAATGATAGTAATATCCTCTATTTTATTGATATGGATTCACATCTTATTAATGATTACCATTGTTCAAGAAAATTAATGTGACTAACTCTCCCATATTCATCCTAAGCAATTTGAATTATTTATGAAGTGTTTAAAGTTGCTGCCTTTTTACTCTAGTTGTTATATGATACTTCTTTTTCATCAAATCACAAAGAATAATTTCTAATATTGATCAATCAATTAATTGAAAAAAATAATTTTTTTTAAAAAAATTCTTTATCATTGCACTTTTATCTTTATTGTAGCCACATTTAACATTGTTGATTTGGATGATAGTTGAATTATTTCTTAACAAATAATTTGTCAGAACTTCTTTGATCATAGAAAATTTTTTATTAGTATATTCTAATAATTATAATTATAATGATCATCAAAGTATGGAATGACTGATTGAATAAAATTATTACAAGTCATAATAAAAATATTTTTTGGAACTCTTGCATTAAGGAAATTATTATCAATGCTATTTATTTTTTGGAAGATGTTAATATAGTGAAGGGGCTAAGCAGAAGATAACCAAAAGCAATGGACAAGGAGAAAGAAAAATAGAGAAGAAAATAGAATAAGACAAAAATAGAAAGCAAACAATGAAAAATAGGAAGCCAACATATACAAAAGAGAAAAATGGTATGAGAACTAAAGGAGCTGATGTGTCACGCTTAAAACTTTTATTTGGTTGTTAGACCAGTCTATAATACCTTCAATCCCCATAAGTAAATTAGTTCTAGTAGCTTCGAGGAACTTATCTGCAAACTTGAATTAATTCAAGAGATGATATAGAATCAAAGGGAAACTGTCTTTGAAGCTCGCGGTTCCATCATTAAAGATAACCTTATTCGTCATGAATCATATACTCTTAGCTAATACAAAAAGAAAGCATAGACCAAATTTTACGTTAAAATTTTCAAATACTAGGTTGGATCACTTACGTAATAGATCATCCATACAGCAAAAAAGACAACCACTAACACCCTCAAGAATTCCATCCATACGGTCAATGCTACTTATTCAACTTATAAGCTTTTTGTTCAACCTGGAAGCTATTGCTGCTGGTGTTGGTTATTGTTTTGAACTTAGGATGAATTGTTTTACTAATTTTATCCCAAATTTCTGCTGCTGCTGTTCAACTGAACAACTGTTATTTCGATTGTACTATGTTGCTTCTGAGAAACTGCAACCAATTATACTGCTGCTTGCAGTTGCCTGATCAAGGAGGCTGTTGTTTACTTTAAAAAGAGACTGGCGCTGCTGTGCTTGAGATCTGCTGGATGCTGCGTTGAAGTTAGTTTGCTACTATAATTTGCTGGATGACCAAACCTATTCAAATTTAAAAAGGTTTGCAGCTATGATGGAGGCCTGCTGTCACGTGAAGGAGCTGGTTCTTTGTCTGTTTAGTTCTGCTGGAATTGAAGCTCGAATCGCTGACTTCTACAACTGATTTATCTGCTGCTGCTTGCTGGAGAAATTATTGTTGTGTCTTGTTCCAAGCTGCTGATATTAGAGAGTGATTTTTATGCTGCTGGTGGTTCATTCTTGGAGTTCTGTTGCCTCGTATGTGCTGTTGGAATTGATAAAAAAAGTGATGCCATGGAAGGGGTTGCTGTTGTTACGTCACTTCGACCGCTGCTACGTACGTCTTGTTTTTCTTACTTCCTTGCTCTTTTAATCAACCTATGCTCTAATACCAATTGTTAGAATCAAAATAGACAGGTATTTATAATCTTCGAAGCTTTAATGACTGATTCACCACTCTTAAAATTATGAATATATTGGCCAGAAATTATACCACTAATTAGTGTACTCTGATAAGAAATCTTATTAATTAAATAAAAATTCTAACAAACTAGTATAACACAATCATTTTTCATCAAGCATTTTTATATACACTAGGAAAAAGAAGGGAAACAAGACAGCTCGTGCAGCTTGGGTAGAAGAAGAATTAATTAAACAAACCAGGTATTTAGCTCAATTATTTACCCTACCCATCTTGATTTTTCCTATGAAACACATATATATTTTCAAATCTCTCTCGATCTATCTCTTCACTGCTGTCAGCGACCGAAGCCAGTGGGACTCCGCAAATCGGTCTAATTAGAATCTTCCTTTAGGCTAATTACCATGCTACACACACAGAACAGCTATATATATCTGTTCATGGAATAACTATACACACAAAGACATCACATGCATGTACCCAAAAATAAGCATATAGCCAGATGAAGCGTAAGAACGTAGGGCCATTACACAAAGAAACATAAAATTCTCAACTAGATTCTAGTTTAGTGGGAGTATCCGAGGTAGAGAACCTTTTTTATCATAGGTCCTCACACATTTTTTTTCTTTTTTTAATCGATCCTACTCATCTATATTTAAACTATTGTGTATAAGGTCTCGAGTATATTATATATCTTTCTATCCTTTTCAGTTAATTTTTCAGGTTTTTTTATGAAAACATTTCGGTCAGCTTTTATTCAAACATGGGTTGTTCTAGAGTGCTTTCCGGGAGATAAAAAGAAGTTACAAGGGCATCGGTTTTTACATGCATCAGGGGTCGTGTGTATGTGCTTGTGTGTGTCTCTGTTAACGAGGGTAAAATATTAAGACTAAGTAGGGTAGAGGAGACTTACTCTCTAGAGAGGAATGACGCAACTGTGAAAACAATAAGATGCCAATATTGTTCACTGACCTTTACAAACGACTGGCCTTGGCTTTTCCCTCCTCTGCCTTCTAACTTCCTATTAAACTCTACTTACCTCCTCTATCCTCTCTCAATGATCCACGATCTCGTCTCAATTTCTCTCATCAACTAAACATAAGTCCTTCTAGTTCCTATAATATATATTTTCCTGAAGTAAGTGGAAATTGAAATACACACACACACACACATATATGTGTGTGTGTGTGTGTGTGTGTTTATCATTATATGCCGTTGATTGTTTCGCTACAAACATGATAATGCCTCCTACTCTTCCACCTTCTCGACAGCCATTAGTATTTGATGCTTCAATTCTTCAACACCAAGCCAATATACCCTCTCAGTTCATTTGGCCTGACCACGAAAAACCATGCCTTCAATCCCCAAAACTTGCAATCCCCCCTATTGATTTTGGAAGCTTCCTCACTGGAGATCCTTTGGCAGTCTCAAAAGCTACTCAGCTAGTAAATGAGGCATGCAAGAAGCATGGATTCTTTCTCGTTGTTAACCATGGAGTTCATTCAAAGCTTATAGCTAAAGCTCATGAGTATATGAACATGTTTTTTGGAATACAACTCTCAGAGAAGCAAAGAGCTCAAAGAAAGATAGGAGAGCAATATGGGTATGCTAGTAGCTTCACTGGAAGATTCTCCTCCAAACTTCCATGGAAAGAAACACTTTCTTTCCGATATTGTGCTGACAATGATCAGTCTTCTGAAATCGTCCAAGAATACTTCTTGAATGTAATGGGAGAAAATTTCAAACAATTCGGGTAAGAAACCATAATATTACACAATGTTTTCTCTTATAATATTAGCCAGTGAAGACATAATACAATAATTTGTGATTTTGTTATGAATAGGAAGGTTTACCAAGAATATTGTGAAGCCATGAACACTCTTT